AAAATCTGTTATTAGAATAATGAACTAACATTAAATAAATGTATGTAATCGTTGTATTGAAAAAATATAAGGTTCTTAATAATCACGTACAGAATTGGTAAATATAATATTTTGTAATCTTACTTCCCAATGAACAATTTAACAATCAAGTACAGCTGCAAACATTTAATATTCACTTCTCTGTCACAAACAAATCACACCCAGGTTCGATTAGATTACATAAGTAGCGTTATTATTATTTTAACTAACTAATTATTATGATTTAAACGTTTACTATATATTCCTTACGCTTCCTGACCGAAAACGTGAAAAACGTAAATGTTTAAGAGTATTTAAGTTGAGGGCATTGGCTTGTGGGATAGTGCGTGTTCTGCCTTTTGAAACCACGTTACTGGGTTTTGCCAGCTCAGATAAAATTATAATTCCTCAGCTTTAATCTATTAATTCGGCATTTAACTATTATTCCGGTTATATGTTCTGAGCCACCTTAGAATTAAAACCAATTGTTTAATCTTTGACAATTACGCTTAGTTTAACTTTTGAATTTGACAGTTACTTTGAGTTACAAAGCCCCAAGTGTTGGTCGATCCTGTTAACACAAGAAGTGCGTTTATGTTAAAGTTCTGATTTAATAAAGCTATTATTTTAACTTTCTTAAGTCTCTGTCGATAACTTCAGTCTGTTAGGAGTTTGATACTAGTTTATGCTACCAAAGAATGTCAAACTCTGCAGAGAGTTTAAGGGGTATCAGAAACCCCTATACCGACAAATGTTAAATTGGCCATTTTCGATGTACCTTTTCTCAAAATCTGCTGTAGATACACGCTTGAAATTTTTTGTGTAATTAAAGTATACCTATCTGATTATACTGAAATGAGCTTTTGAAACATTTTGAATTTTAGAGTAATTTGCAGAATATTTTGTTAGGCATAGTAAAATTTAGCACTTTTATCACAAAAAGCTCATTTCAGTAGATATTAGGAAACCTAATAAATAAGCCATAAACATTTTAGATACCTGTAAGCAGTAGCTCCTGAGAAAAGGTACATAGAGTATAAAAAAATCAGGTTTGGAGAAAAACGCGTTTTTATGTAAAAATCCTCATTGATCAAAGCAGTCGATGACATATTAAAACTATATTTTTTTACAGTTCTAATTTTCATAGAGATTAAAGAATGATATTTTTAGAAAAGATAAAAGTGTAGAGAATTTGAAAATGAAAAAATCCGAAATCACAATTTTTTGAAGATTTAGGAGTTTCAACACCCCTTAAAATTCTTGAACTGTGTTTTCGCATACAGACAAGCGTTTAATCATATCTATAAAAATTATAAGTCCTTAAGATTTACATTCACATACTTAATACGCAGATAAAATACAAATGATGACTTTATTCTAAATTTTGAATTAAATTCTTTGATACCTATTAACATATTAATACTTAGTTTCAAATTATGGTCTCTACCTCTTAAAGGAAGGTGAAGATTCCTTACATGGGCCGACATCTGTTCTGGGAAATTAGTAATATTTTTATCCAACACGCTAGGAATCAGTCTTGAACAATCTGTATATAATACGTCGTAGACCGGAAACTTACTCTTGTCTTCACACATTTTTGTCACAAATAGTTACAGAGCTTGAAGCTTCCTATGAAATTTCACGAATGAGAAAGAGGAAGACATTCCGAAAGAACTCTTGGAATTAGACGAAGTAGATAGAAGCTGGACATTGTTCATCATATCTCTATTAGAAGCAGAATTCTAGATCATGAAGACTCTTAAGAAACAGGCTCGCGTCAAACGTTATTTCATCACTATCGGACAAGAATCTTATCTTTCATTCTTTTCTTAAAAATCTGTAAAACTGAAACTCTTTAACCCGTCCAACAGAAGCCTTTATTTCTCAGTAATTTCTTGTGCCTGTGAAACTGGAATCAAATAATTATATGTTCAGAATTATAGAGAATTCATGAATATTAATAAAAGAAATAAACTTCACGTATATAAAGAATTCATAAATATCTATAAGAGAGAAATATTCTTTGTAAATAATTATAAAAACATATTACCTTATATAAAAACTGAATAACGCTAAAATATAGCTACTACTGCCAAATTATTCACAAAATGAAAAAAAAAAAAAAAAAAAACCTACTACGAAACTGCGTCATTTCTGATTTTGAAGATATAATTATTTAACAGCAGTTTAGGAGAAGAGAAAAGTTATGTTTTGCAATATTTTATATATTACTAAGTTTCAATTAAGTTTGGAGTCAAACGTTCTTCCAAGAGCTCCGAGAGGGGAGCAGGCAAACGGAAACTCATTAGCAGAGGCCATCCTTAGTGTGTTCAGTATTATCGAAATCAGGTAAGTATAATAGCCAATCCATTCAAGCAACATCTTCATTTTGAAGGCATTCAGTCATTATAGCAGCTTGATGAGATTAAACATTGCCATTCAGGAACATATAAACTTAAAATTAAAACCTTAACGTCGAAGCAATACATTTTCTGCTTATGTTTAGGGGGCTGCAGAAGGTTCTGCTACAAATATGATAATTGGTAAGGTCTTATGACGATGAAGACGCTACTGTCTTAAACATTATTCCCTGGAATTTATCAGAAAGGGTACTGCAACACAGTGATCTTCTCTTGCAAAGACCTTCCGGGTGAATCTTTATGTTTGTTGTGTTGGGGCTTATCTCACTTGTTTGACAGTAAGATTAGAACAAGCCCACGAAATTCATCTTGGTAAGGTGAGCAACATTGCGCCTGTAGTTAGCAAGGAGCCTTGAGCACCATACAGGTAACAGCACTATTTCTCTCAGTTCCGCCCTCATATTTAATGGATAGCACTCCGGAGGGACAAGTACAAAGGTTTCCCATCTCTCTTTCCCTACCACCAACCTCTCGAGAGGACTTTTGGCTCGCCATATATTTAGAGTGCCCCGATGCCGCAAAGACACTGTAAATTACAAACAACCATGTCTTCTCCGGGACTCGAACCGTACCGCAAAGGGCTCCCCTAATCGCTATACCGTCTGGGCGTCAAATATTTATGTAGGCGGTACCTGCTCTTGGATTATCAGTTGATAGGTCTAAATTCGATTGTTTAAAAGTTGCATAACAGTTTCATCTAGTCAATAGTAACATATAATGATGTTCAGCTAGATTTTCACCTGCTTGGAAAGTTTCTAAACACTTTCAAATTTGCCGTTTTATTCTTAGCTAACATATGTGTGCAAATATCCGAATGTGCTTTTTTTAATGGTTGGCTCAGCTTTGTCTTATTTGCGAATTCTGTGCACAAACACTGTTACAGCAACACCAGATTTCTGTCTTTGGTAGCAAATAATTATCATAAACAATTACAGTGAATGGAAATTTTAACTATTCTTATTACAAATTTCATCACTTTTGCAATTATCATTTAATCGTGAATAGCAGCATCTGAATCACAGACAAAATTCGTCATTGGCTAACTTTCTGCTGAAGTGCCATTCTTCATTCTAAGCAAGGAATATGCAGACTTTTATCTTATGCGAAATTTATTCAATATTATGTAACATACACCCTGGAATTTAAGTAAAATCTGTAATGTGTGTAATCTCTTCTCGCATGCAACTGTAAATTATTCGTGACTAAAAAATTCAGAAAGTAATGTAAAAATTGCAATGCTTATATTTTAAAGTTGATTAAGGATTTATAATCAAAGAGCTACAGAATATTTCTGTATTCCTAAGCGTAACATTTACAAGGTAATCTTTTTGGGAATAATTCTGCATATTCATTAATATAAATTAACATTAAATAAATCAATAAATTATGCATGAGTAAGTGAAAGGTATGTGCGCAAATTTTCTTTATTATATATTTACAGTTATATCGAAATTTTCTCTGTTATGCAACAGATGAAACTGTTATGCAACTTTTAAACAATCGAATTTAGACCTATCAGCTAATACTACACACTATTTACTTATAACATACATTGTCAGTAAATAGAAAACTAATTTTAAAGGCACTGCATGAAGTATTTAAGAAAAGCTTAAAATTACATTTTAGAACAATTTTGTTAGTGAAACCATTTTGCCTTGCATAATATTAATGCACGGTAAATTAATTAAATATCGTCGGATAAAGTTTTAAGATATTTCTGGAAGTTCAAGTATAGTTTGAAAATTATCAAACGAACTATACTTCTGAAATAATGGGTTCCAGGAAATGACCAATAACGTCTATTAAAATTATGATAATTTATATATTTTTCTGCAATTGAAAAAAATAAATATATTAAATTTCAGTTATTCTGCCAATTTGAATCAATTCAGTCAGTCAAAATCTATTCTAAATTAAGCCAATGGAATGCTTTGCATTCTAATTGAATATTTTGTAAAAAATTTACTAAAAATAAAAACAATCACTAGATAATATGTTTTCAGACGATTTGATAAGATTTGTTTCATTAGGGAGTTCTAATTTTTGTCTTTCTCGAATAATATATAAAACTTCTCGAATAATATATAATATGTATTAATAATAAATATAAATGTGTGTATAAATTGTACGCTTTTAGATTATTAACTGAAGTAAATGAATAGCACAACACCTCGTATGGTCAAACACAATTTACGGTTTTTTCCCGTATGTATTCTGAATCTGTTTTTGTGCAACAATTAAGCCCAATGTAATCGAACTCTTCTGCTTCATGTTAGCATTTAAAGACTAAAGGTTTCAAACGAAGCAATACACTTTTTTGCTTTAATAAAATAGAATTTGTTTACCGGTTTCAACTATAACATGAAAATATTACACAACAACAGAAATATTCCAGAATTGACAAGTACAGATATTAACTGAAACAATTAAGAACTGCAATTTCGAGCGTCAAATAACTTTTCTGTAGAATATAATTGACAACTCGCATTAGGGGAGCATTTACAAAACAAAGCATAATATTTACGCAATCGATAAATTTTTAAAATATTGCGCAACTTCTAGAAGGAAAGAAATTGAGGGATTAAGAAAAATTGTGCTTCCTCATGCAAGAAGGGGAGGATTTGACTCGGATTTTGAAGAACAGGAGAAGTGTCCTCTAAAGGGAGAAAGATGAGTGGATTACGGAGGCCAACTGACCTAATTTGCCCACTTTCTCCTATTGTATATAAAGCTCGAGTTGTCACTGCTTGGACAGAATTCTCTCAGCATCATGGGAGCATCTAAGGTAAGATTCCTCTCTTCTTTCGATGGGTTTGACCATGTGATTATTAAGTTAGTCAAATAACAAAAAGAACCAATTTTGCTTTACGTTTCGGTAATGAATTATTAACGTGATGCAGAGTATTGTGTTTTATAATAGTATTTTAGATATTTGAGATTCAGATCTTTTATTTAAATATTTCTCTGAAGCAACTTGTAGTTTAGTGATTCAGTGATTTTATTATTTTTAAAGTATTATATTTAGTATAAATTTCAGGTTTTTTGACTTCCAATAAAGCGCATCAAATCTGAGTAAAATACATAAATTTATGCAATGAGAACCAGAGCGTATTGTACAAATTCGTAAAATTATGCATAATCTATGTATTGGGTATCTATCAAAACTCTATTCATTATTTGAAAGGAACAGTTTTCTAATCGATGAGTTTTATGATGTGATGTTAAAATTGCAGCCTATGTCAAAATTCATGTAGTTATAGAGCGGTATAAAGAAGAGAGAATGAAAGACTACTTTAATAAAATTAATTTAATTTTAAGAAAATAAATGAAATATGTCAATAGATGAAAATTTATATAACTGAATATTCCCACTGTTTTGACAGGTGATTCATGCTTAATATGTTAAAAGTTTAAACATAAAACAAAAATCTCTATTTTCTATACATAATAAGACTTAATGATATTTACATATTAGAAATATATTAAACTACTGAAAATACTGATAATTCTATTACAAAAGAAAACTCAGACAGCGTTAGATGTATATTAACAAACTAGAAACAATGCTAACTTTTTTCAATATTCTTCTGACTGTAAGATAAATATAATACAAGAAAAGTCAGTGTGCAGTAATATTTAGCATTACACTGAATATATATTCAGTGTAGGTGAAGCTGTTAGATAGAAACTCTGAGGAATTTATCAATTTAATGTAATGAGTTAAATTTATGAATGCATGAAACTTCTGTACTGATTTAAAGATAAATGTTACTTGGTTTGACTGAGTAAAAAGGTAAAAGAAAAATCAGAACAAGGCTTTAAAAATGTAATATAATTTGAACCTCAATACTATAAAGTTTGACTTATTGTGTACTGTTAAATTTGAATCAAAATGTGAAGCATTTATGAATGATAAACCGCATAACAAGCGCAAACATTCTTATGAAAAGGAAGCCTAGATTCATACTAAATACAGTTACAATTGCTTAAAATATTTTTTTCAACCTTCAAATTACCGAAATGATAGCTGCAGCAAGAGAATTTTTTAAAAATTCAAACATTTTATATCTTCCATTGTAAAAACCCAACAGAATCTATATATCCTTATTGATCATTATCTTTGTTTTCTCGCAATACATCTTCCATGCCATCAAGAGCGTTCATGTCATTATGATCTCAAAGACGTAATATTTTAAAATTCTGTGTACCTTTGAAACTCATGAATATCAATCGTTTGATGGAAAATACAGGAAATAACGTGAAACTAATATGCACCTGGGTTTCAGAGATGTTTAAATGTTTAATAGTCAAATCATTTGCGTGAAGAACATGAGAAAGTTTGCCTTTCGACTACATAGATAACATATTATTTTCTCCGCGTGTATCGTAAGTACAAGCCTGTATCTTTTAGAAGATCCTCCGATCAGGTATTCTTGCTGAGACAGATAATTCAGGAACTTTGCGACGATCAACTAATCCCAATCAGTCAACAAACTAAACGCATAACATAAAACTTTCATTCTCATTTAATATATAGAAAATGAAAAATCTGAGTGCCAACAATGCTATGTGAAGAATCGTATTTCAAAATTTGCCTAATTTTAATATTCATTGACATGTGAAAATCAGTTGCATAATTTTAAGTTAAAAAGGTAATTTTAAGGTACGAAAAAAAAGAGAACTGTTTTTTCAAAGAATGGGGCTTATAACTCTTCTAAATGTTTACATATTAGTTGGGAATATATTATTATAGACTGGTGATATATTTCTAAATTTCTGTACTGTATAGAACCGGTAAAAAGGAATTAAATGTACGCAGCAAAATCAAGGAATTCAAGATTTTAAAGTAGTACGTTCAAAATACTTATATTATTTGTCTCTACTATGCAGTATAAAATTTAATAGCTACATTTTTTTATTGTACTTTCTGTAATTTTTTATAAAATATAAGTGCACCTTTATTCTGCTCTTATGTTTCTTAAAATAATTTAAGTTCAAATATTTTAAAATAAATTTCTGTATATCCGAATGTCTTCATTTAGGACAATTTAACTTATAAGCTGATAATTTATTATAACATTTCTCAAAGTAAATGCCTCCATCCTACATCATTCAAGTTAAAAAAAAAAAAAACTAGAAAATTTTCTTTCAAATTCATGAATTCTTTACTGCAATTACTTATAATATATTATTACTACAGGTCCTTCCTGGAGTTTCTAGCACGACCTTATATCCATTTCATTAGAGACTGCTCATACACTTTTGAATAATAAAGCTCTGCTTTTCACAGCGTATATTTTAACCACGATTAAATATGTTTAAACATGTTAACTTGATTCCATATCAGTCTCGGTTATTTTTTTAATTCAAAGAACAGTTCTTTCAATAAACGAGCATGTTTTCTAATTTGCATGGATGTTATTATAAATTTATTTAATTACTATATTATTAGAACTTTTGACTCTGATTTCATCATTTCTTATGAAAGTTATCAGAGAGTTTCATAGTCTTTTAATTTTAGCAAGTATTTTTCCATTGAAATGATTGCTACTAAGACGTAGTTTAATTACATTCACTTTGATTTTATGAATGTAATTATATTTTTAACTCTTATTACCTACCCATCATGTCTTCAAAAATGGAAATGGAAACAATTTACCAAACCACCAATATTTTAGGTTTTAGACTGCAGATTTTAGCAATCATAAACGTGAACTATAATAAGCCTTCCACTTACTTAAAAACATACGAAAACATAAGAGCATTAAAAAATTTTTAAGATTTATTATTTTCCTTAGTTTGGAAGTTTAGGAGAGACAGGCGAATATGTCATTCTCTGCAATATGATAACCATATATATACAACAATATATAATAGCATAGTCAATGTTTAAATAATATCGGCATTATAAAGTTTTTGAATAATGAAGCGTGTCAATTTTCCATATTTAAAAATTTTCTTTAATTAAGCTTAATATAAATCCTTGAAAACAGCTGAGAGAGAACGGCTTACTTCTCTCATAGCATAGCACAGATAAATTTATTTACGTTTGCTTCTTTATTGAATTATTTACATCTGTTATATCTATTTTACATAATTTTAATAATAACTTAATTTAATTTATTAACCCAATTTATTTTTAATAACTTAATTTAATTTCATTAATGTGCAGTTTTTAAAATTAAACTTATTCATAATTATTCTTATTTTTCTCGTATAGAATTGGACCCGTTGGGCTGTTTTAAGCTGTACTCTCCTACTGGTCTCCGGCTTAGGAGGAGGTGGTTATAGTGGTGGAAGCGGAAGTTACGGTGGAGGAGGCGGTGGTTTTGGAGGTGGAAAAGGAGGCGGCGGTTACGGAGGAGGAGGTGGAGGTGGAGGTTACGGAGGAGGAGGTGGAGGTGGAGGCGATGGAGGAAAGACAGTCTTCATTGCTGTCCCTATTAGGACAATTAGTGGTTTAGGAGAAAGTGGCGGCGGAGGATATGGAGGTGGAGGAGGCGGTTATGGAGGAGGAGGAGGAGGCGGCGGAAAAGGTGGTTTTGGAGGCGGCGGATATGGAAGCGGTGGTGGAGGAGGAAAAGGATTTGGTGGATTTGGAGGTTTCGGTGGCGGCGGATATGGTGCTGGCGGTGGAGGAGGAAAAGGTGGATTCGGAGGTTTTGGAGGATTAGGAAGTGGAGGATATGGCGGTGGCGGTGGAGGAGGAAAAGGTGGATTCGGAGGACTTGGAGGATTCGGAAGTGGAGGATATGGCGGCGGAGGAGGAGGAGGAAAAGGTGGATTCGGAGGTGGAGGATATGGAGGTGGCAGTGGAGGAGGAGGAAAAGGTGGATTTGGAGGATTCAGTGGTGGTGGATACGGAGGTGGCAGTGGAGGAGGAGGAAAAGGCGGTGGCGGCGGAGGAGGAAAAGGAGGTAAGAATTTCTGAACATTTAAATTAAATTATATATTTTTTCAAGATGTTTTTCCAGAAGCCAACTGTTAAAATACCGAAAAAAATAGAAACCTGCAAATTTTCAAATTATCATGCACATTTTGAAAATTGTCTGACATTAAATTATGCTTATTTTTTAAGCATAAACGTTTTAGAATTTTGCAACAAACGTCTTTCTGGAAATATATTTTAACCTGAGAAAAGAACGTTTCCAATTTCTGATGCGCAACTTTGTCTACTATGTTGCAACAATGAAAATAACATGTAATTTTATTATTTTACCAGATTTCTTTCAAACAAGAAATATTTTTTACGCTTATGAATGCACCTTTATATATGAAGGAACTCTAATGATTTTTGTCTCTTTTACTATCATGGAGATATTATACAATCATATAATGAATTTGCATACTTCTTAAAACTAAAATATTAACCTGAAAAATTATATAAGTGTTTTACTTAATTTAAACTTTGCTATTTCGTCACCTGTACCATAATGATACAAATAATACGCAGTTTAATTATGTTTTAAAGAGATACCAAATGCTGCAAACAGCATCTTGACAATATACATAGTAGTATTTTTAAAACTTTCATGCAATAAGTATATTAACAATGTCATGTAATTAGTGTCATTTTTACTGAAATAACAAAACTAAAAGAGATAAAATGCTGTTTCATCTATTTTAGTTTTGTTATTTCAGTAGATCTTTTCACAAAGCGTATCTTTAAAAGTTTACATTTTTCAGGCTTATTTAAGATATGCATTTATGTATAGGATTTGACAGCAGTGTTAGTCAAAACATAAATAAGACATAATAAAATACATAAAATGCATGGCATAATAAATTTTATATTTTATGTAATTAACTCGTATATCTTCTAAAATGTAAACATTAAATGTATCAGATGTAAACATTAAAGTGACGGAACAAACAAAAAGAAAGGGAAAAAAACCGAGAACTTATTTTAAAATTCCAGCTTTAAAAACACCATGTCATATGTTTGCTGGCCGTAGCGTTTCCTCTAATCTAAAGTTTAAAGTTACGAATAAAAATTCTTTAAAAATTGAAATGAAATTCCATTTTACTTTGGAGTAATGTATAACGTACACAAAATTATATATATATATATATATATATATATATATAACACTGATTTTTTTCCCTTCGAAAAGAAAAAATTAGTGATATATTTTAATTAAATAAAAAATTAAAAAATTATTAATCTTAAAATCACTAAGTGACAGCTAGGTATAAAATTTAAATTAAATTAAAAATTTCTATGTTTTTAACGAGCTAAATAAGTAAATGATAAGCCATCTTTTTCATACATGTGCAATGTTATTATTTTCGGTGCAATCATAGTATTTGGCTGTTTTAAATTCAAAATTTATATGTCATTCAGTTCATTAATATTGAACAGTTCCTAAAATTATTAAAATGTGTTATATAAGAATTATAACTTACAATTTTTCAATTGCTTATTTTTGACTGTATTATTATTTTGACGTATTAAAAGACTACTATGAATTAGATATGCTTTTGTTCTTCATTATGGAATGTACAGTTCTGTTCTTGCTTTTCCCACCAGGTAGCGGAGGTGGCATAGCCATTGTAGGAATCACTCTCACCCAATTAGGCGGAGGAGGAGGCGGAGGCGGTTATGGAGGAAGCGGAGGAGCTGGTGGTAAAGGTGGATTCGGAGGATTTGGAGGAGGCGGTTATGGATCAGGAGGCGGTGGCGGCGGTTATGGATCAGGCGGAGGAGGAAGTGGCAAAGGCGGATTCGGTGGATTTGGTGGTGGTGGTGGTGGGTACGGTGGCGGAAGTGGAAAAGGTTATTAATAGTTGGTAAGTTACAAAAATATGCATTTTAACATTTATATGTACGTTTCATGAAGCATTTCATTTAAAACTGATTAAAATTTTAATCACAAATATAAAAAATAGATAACATGGTGATTATGAAGTGGTCAATGCAGTCAAACCTTGAATTTAAATCAGGGGATTATAATGTGGTTAATGAAATCAAACCTTTAATTCAAATCATTCTAATCATTCTTCGAAATGAACAAAAGAAGATCTATTCAACTGAGTGATTTAGATAGAAAGTATTTAAATTAATATTTTCTCATTCAATTCAAAATTTAAAAAATAAAGAATGAAATATATATATCTTACTTATGTAATCTGTCTTAGAAGTGAATGGGAATTTGATTACTCGCTCGCAACATGAAGCAATTAAATAACTTTTATTCTACATCCACATTAAAGACTGAACATTTACATTAAAGACTTATTAAATTAAATTAAATTTAAGCCAAAGGTATTTCTCCCACTTCCGTAGCGTGCCTTCGTGGTGTAACGGTAGCACGCTGGGCCGGTATTCCAGAGGTCCGTGGTTCGATTCCCGGCGAAGGCGGTTGCATATTTTTCATATTTTCTGCTTCCAATTTGACCTAATGACTCTACAAGTGGCGCCCGAACTAAAAGAGTTGTGGATGATGATTCTCCGCACCAAGGATTTGGCGACTAGGTCCCTTAAAACCCTAGTCGCCCTTTAAAAAGGGGAGTATATAAGGTATTTCTCCCACTTCCCTAGCGTGCCTTCGTAGTGTAGTGGTTCAGCACGCTGGGCCGGTATTCCAGAGATCCGTGGTTCGATTCTCGGCGAAAGCGGTTGCTAATTTTTCATCTCCCCGGCTTCCAAAAAGTCCTAATGACTCTACAGATTAACATTAATTTTTTTTTTGGTTCCCCCTTTTTCTTTCATTCTCTTACTCTTTTTTTAAACTTTTGTAAATATTAATAACAAAGATAGTACTATTATTAATTTTACAGAAACTTTAATATTCAGCGTTAATTAAAGCTACAAATACTGTGGTTAATATCTGAAGTGTGTGTTGTAATGGATAGCAGAATTAAGTATTATTTGCCTGAGAGTTTTATTTCTTCCACCTGCAGGTTTTTTTCAAAGCCTTCACTGGTTCTAGAGGTGTCATAACAGCAACAAAGGGGATATAAGAAGAAAAGTCTGATTCTTATTGTCATTCTCCGGTATGATTCACGAACAAGCTTTTACACAAGTTCAAAGAGGTGTCAAGTGCTTGGAACGACGGTGTAACAAATTGTGATCCAAATGTAATAAATTATTATGTACATGATGTAACTATGCTGCTTTTTTTCTCAATTTACATACACAGTAAGATTTAAAATCAAATTCCGTGTTTCTCAGGTATTCACAAAAGAAGCCGAGTCACAGAAGAGAAAAAATATCGCTAATGTCATGCAGTTGGAAAAACTAGGATGTTTGATTTCGGTTCCTTATTTTAGTCTTGACTTTATGAATCCATAAAATGCATTCTTTGCATGCATTCTAATTGCCAGAAATAAAAACGAAATAAATATCTAAAATGAATCTTATAATCTCTTAAGTAATAAATAAAACTGAGAGATGAATAATGAATTCAATTACATTTATCTCAATTTGAGATAAAAAATTCTTTCGTTTACATTGATTATCAAATAGCTTTCTTCACAGCATTACAAAAAGAAGGAAGATCTATAATTTTACAAAAATTATTCACTAATATTTTTCTTTTTATTATTTACTTATTCACTAATATTTTTATTGGCCCAGTAGTTCTGAAAACTGCCTTTTATTCCTTAATTTTGTAACTGCTGCGAACATTTGCCTTCGAAAAAAGAAATATCTTTTTCTTCTAGAATTTTTTTACTGATGTTGAAAGAAATATTCAAATATACGAAGCCTTTAGATCAGAGATCTCCAAGCTTTCAGCTTACTTGAGTTACAATGGAAGAGGACGAGATATTCTGGACTATACGAATTATTTCTAATAATTGTGGCAGATTGCGATCTCCAAAGTAAGTGAATCACACAATTGCATATGTTTCATGGAATATTTTAGGGTTTGTTCAGGTTTGACACATGAAAGAAACTTTTGAATTTCACATCTAAGGGAAAATGCGCAGGGTTGACCGCGTTAGTTCAAATTTGCTCATTATAAAATTATTACTCAGTATTGATATGTATAAGAAAGCGCATACAGAGAAAAGTTTTAAGTGATTTCACTTGATTCATACGGCCAGCCACCACTGCCCAACCCTGACGATGACTGACATGAAAAAAAAAAAGTTAAATATGTTTATGTAATTTAAACTATTGTAGCTGCTGATTTTTTTCGCATGATAACAGCAACATAGGATTATTTTGACATCTTATACATAATATTTCATTATAAGTTTTATCTATAACTAAAAAAATCACAAAATCATTGTGATATCCGGCCTTGAATTTGAGAAACTAATGAATCAATGTCTGGATCAATTGGAGTGGTTGCAATTCTTAGGAAATTCTCGTCGGGATATCAAATGTATCTTCGGGGCATGTTGGCATTCGTTTTGTGCTTCGCGCTCGCTTCTTGGGCCGCCATGCGGCCTCAAGTTACGGTTTATCCCTGCTTTAAAGTAACGAAATGTTTGTTATTAAATTAATGCTGACGAAACTTTTAAAATTATCTGCCTAATTATGCTAGGCCCTTTCGTAAAAGCTAGTTCTTGTTTTAATTCAGCTTATGTAAAGTAAAACATGACAGCCCTGACTGTTAAAGTAACAAATAATAAACGATAAGAACCGCGTTATATGAGCAAATTTGTTAAATGTTCGAATGTTAAATAGAACTTTCTTCTTCAGCTGCGATTGATCTGGGCCTGCATTGTTGCATCAGCACTATTTAATCTTTGAAATTACTAAAGTCACGCAAATTTACTCGCGTTATGATAATTAACATTATTTTTTGCAGAGTTTTAGATTGGGCAAGCTATTTACTTCGAAATGTATTATCTTCTATTTTAAAAACGGCTATTTAAAAAATACTATAGAATGTTTCACAAAATTATTTTCCGAATTAATTTTTAACTCATAGCTCCTACATGCGAATTAAAGCTAGGAATTATACAAGTTGTCTTGCCTTTAAAGTTCTCACGGGATTAAACGAGTGGTTTCTTCTCTTCTACCTCTGGAAACACTTTTGGAGGCCAAAACCAGCTTTCTATTCATCAAAGAACACTGCCATCTTGGTAAAGCATACGTGGGCAGAATTCTGCTAATTATATTTTATAAGTCTCAATATTTGAAGTCATTTTCTCCTACTCTGCTAAAATTTAAAACGACTCACGACTATACGCACATTTCCCAAATGGACGTGCATATGTTGACTTGAAATTTAGTAGCTGCATTCGCCATATATTTCAATTTTGCACGCCAGCCTCTGTGTCTGTGATCAGACATATATTTAAATTCTGTTTGTCATATTTTGCTGGGAGCACCTGTAAAATCATATTTCAATAGGATTCTAGCTAACGGTGTCTGACTTTTGAAACTTTGCACTAGGCTGCTATGGCGGGTTTTTTGCATTACATACATTTATAAAAAGCAGATGTTGCTTGTTTTCCCGTGTTTGGAAACAGGATTAATCTATTACTAGGAAACAAAAGTTTCGTTCTTTCCTTTATTGTTAATAAAGGAAAGTACGAAATGCCCTACGAACGTAGAAAAACTCTTCCAGAACTGGTGGATTGTCTACTACTGACCATTCTTATTCAGAATTCATCCAAATCAGAACTGCCTGAAATTCTCGGTCGGAGAAAAACCCTTAGACATCGCATAATTTCATAAAGTATATGTTCCTATTCTGTAAAGTAAATAAAAATCTTTTGTGCGAATGAAGAGAAGGAAAATAATAGATGAGTTCCACTTACTTGTTCATATTATAGTTTTACATGATCAATAATATTTTCGAAGTCACAAAAACATCACTTTTTTGTTTCTGTATATTTAACTGAAAAGTAAAAGGATTTTTGTGCATCTGTCTAAAAAACAAGCAATATTACTGCTTACATTTCAACATATTTCATATGCGAGTAAACAATTTATTGTATTTTAGGTCCATAATTTGCTGTTAAATAGCTTCGCATAATGGGAATAGTAATGTTTATGTCTGTACGGTGTGCTTTCCTCTAGAAATGTCAGAGTATACTCTAAGTTTCTTCAAAATTTATTTTAAATAAATTTTAACGAAGATTCTGAAAAAAATGCATTGAATTTCACTTACAAGTAATTTTAATGCTATACATGTAATCCATGGAGATAATATAATCGCTTTTCATAAGTACCTATATTAACGAATTACAGTACTAATTTTTAAAAATTCTGAATAATCACTTGCACAAATAAATACTGTTTTCTCAATAAAGCTTGTATATTTTTAGGGCTATAGTAACTGAGGAAACTCATTCTTTAAAATGTGTATGCATTTTACAAAAGTTCCCATTGTTGCTGTACGTTAGGAATATAAATAGAGCGTGGGTAAATCAACTAGATCAATCCTGAGATACCTAAAACTGATTCTCAAGCTAGTAGTTAAAATTAAAATAGTTTACAAAAGAAATACAAAGATACTAAGCTGTAAATGAAGTTGTGTTTTATCTCAAATATCTTAGTTTTAATATGGTGTGATTCGGATTAGTTCGCAATGAAATCCAGGGTCTAAAAGTTCTCTGTTCTAATGTAGGAAAGCTTTCCACAGGTATTAACGATCTCCACACTTTCCAAATTAGGAATTTCTTAATGCATATAAAACTTTTACAGACTTTATTGAAATCTAAAAACTAACATCGACGGAAGCAACGAAGAAAAAAGTAACTCACTGTAATTTATATTAATTTATACTAGTATTTATATTAATACTTACAGTATTTCGTAGTGTTTACATTAATACTCATAATCCTTATATAATTACGATATATTAATAAATCTACCGGTATTGCAACGCCCTTCTGCATTAGGCTTTTTGCAGTATTAAGAAAGGTTATTCAGTGATAGGCAGCCCTTATCTATTGCAAATACTTCATTTTCGTAGCATTAAACTTAGTAATAAGACATATTTCGCGAACAAATGTCTTATAATCAAAATCATCTCATTAGATTTATTCTTAGAAATAGAGTTCGTAAAGTTTAGTGACCTTTTTAAGAATCATAAAGGGTAACCAAGCTTTAGAGACTGTCAGCGAGTTATTGCTAAATAATACCTGAAACTAGAGAAGGTATGTAACGGACCCTTTATTTAAAACTCGATAAGAACAGAGGGCACACACAGGGCTTACAAATCAGCTAACCTCTTGTGGGTATGTCGGTCAAATGTAAAATTTTAATTAAATAAGTTAGTTGCCAAAGGTTACGCAGATCAGTTTAACGCGAAATTGGCTCAAAACTTAACCGGCTTGCAAATTCAATACCAGCAATTGTAATGCAAGGCCGAAGACTACGAATCTTATCTGATCTAGCAACCTAGTAAAGTGAACTCGAGATTCAGAACTCTTACAATCTAAAAACCTCATCTTAAATACACGCGAACTAAGTTTGCATTCTGGCGAGAAAACGGAAGGTAGAAGTGACAGTAAAAATCCAAAACATAAAATAAATGGTTAATTACAATAAAGGAACCTTACAAGTTTTATATAGTTATTTTCTTGTTATATTTTAATGTGGGCTAAAAGTGAAAGCAAGATTATGTTTCGTTTCAGCTCCTGTATAATTAAAAATTTATCGAGTTTTTTTATTTTTGAATTAGAATGCTTGCTAAGGCAAGTAGAAAAGAGAGCGACATCGCATCATGGCAGCCATTCTGATTCGTCGAGGGGTGATCACTCTCCTTGAGGACTTGTCTCCTGCTTCATTTTTCAAATATTATTATAGGTCTATTTTTCTCCAACAGGCTGAAAAGCACCTAACCCACTGGGCCAACACCTCCTTATAGAAGGAAGCCGGGACACTGGATTGTGACGTCACGCGTAGTCGTCTATGTCGAAACCCCGAGAGAGCAACGAAACAAAACAGGCTGCGCGCTAGTGCCGTACTTAACGTTGATTTCACTATTTGATATAGATACTTGGGTGGGATTTTATTCAGAGATTCAATTATATATAATGAATAATTTAATTACTTCAAATTTAAAAACAATAAAATTTGACATAAATTTAAGAATTTTTTGTTTCTTATTTCTTGACTTTAATGAATTATACTTCCTTGTAGGTTTCACAGCAGCATTTAAAAAGTTAAAAATCAGCCATACTAACTCAAAAAAGGAA